AAAAATTAATGAATAAAAAAAAAAGACAATTGGATTTATATTTGACATAGATCTATTCAGTCCCATATAGAATAAAGGAAGAGTAACTAATATTTTCTAGGTTTCCAATATGCTGAAACCTAGAAAATGGTTTAAGGGGTTTTCTTCAAATATTGGTGAACTGCAAGCAAAAGACTGGTTTGGTGATTAAAGGCACTGTGCCATTAATCACAATGCCTTTGCCACTTCAGGTTTGTGAGGTGGTAAGGTGTGTGTGGTTCTGTTGTGTAAGGGTGTGTGGCCGGCCGTGGAGGTAAGGTTGTTGGGTGGAGGAGCATGGAGCGGGCCTGGTTGTATGTCTGGTTCCAGGCCTTTCCTAGGAAAGGCATTTTACTATTTCTAGGAAAAGGAAAAACAGTTTTTCCTTTTCTAGTACCTACATTAAAAACATTAATAATGATAATTAAAAAACATCAATAATATTGATTTAAAAAAAATATATATATATATATATATATATAATCAAAAATACCAAGAACACATTTGATTTTAACTAAATTATTAATATAACTCTAAATTTGTCAAGAGATTTTTTTTAAATATAACTGTTGCTGAATGTATTGTTTCCAATATGTTGGAACCTGAACAATAAATGTTATCCCTAAATGTTAATCTTGTGAAACAGTGACTAATTCAGTGATTATAGGCAGTTTGCATATGCTCTTTATCAGTATTTAAGGTAAATATTTTTTTCTCACCCTTGAAGAAGAGCGTGATCATCACAGTGATGCCCCATGCAAACCCTTGAAGAGCCATTGTCACCAGTATCTCTTGTCTCTGGTTTTCAGCATTAAATACTAGAATTTTTTTATTTAGGTCCACCCAAAGTGACATGATGTCTAATAAGCTACACCCATCACAAATTATCTCTCTCTGATCTGCATTGGCTTGGATCTGAAAAAACAAAAAAAACAAAACAAAAAGAATGAATCCAAACTTGTCTGTTGGGAATGACTGCATACATTTTGTGCAAGTGAGGTTATGTTATGGTGTACAAGTCAAACAAGCTGGACAAGCTTATTTATGCATCATAGCTTCCTCTGTCTTAACAGATCATCCAAACCAAACCAGTTTAGTTCACGTTGCCATCCAGCTACTAATAATCCAAAACACTGGGAAGCAATTTTACTTCATAGTTAATTTGTGTGGACCAAGAGGGAGGGCCAAGTGGGAAAAAAAGCTATATTTTTCTGTTAATACTAGAGCAGTTATGAATTGCAAACACTTCTGAGTTTAATCCAGCTAAAAGGAAGCACAAATAGTCACGTGTATTAAACGTCACAAAGGTCACAAGCAAAATTCAACTTTCAAATGTTTGTTTTACGACGAACAGCATTGAAATGCAAACAAATTTAAAATGCCAAATTAGAATTTTCAAACATTTCTCAATCTCATGTCAAGTCATAAAACTGAAAGTTCTCACAACAGAGCCTGGTGAGATGAGGCCTAAGAATGTAGAAAGAAAAAGAGCTGGTTCACTTCACTGTTTTAAAAATGTGATGTGGTCAACATTGCTAAATTTACAGATTACCAGTTCAAATGCATATGTAAAATGTGAGGTGATGGAGTAATGAACTTTGCCTTATGAGTTAATTTCTGTTGCACCATTAGAGGCAGTAAGGGCTGTTGCTGGCAGTTGACACATGCCCATTGCTACTCCCATTTCTTGAATTGACCTTTGCCAGAATAGGGAGCCAGGCACTGATGAATTTCCTCCAGGCTGTGTTGTTGGACCACTTTCTGTTTATATTTCCATCCCTAGCTGAAAAACTTTAGCATTATGGCATCTTTTACCTACAGTGGCTTGCAAAAGTATTCATAACCCTTTAACTTTTCCATGTTTTGTCAAATTACAACCATTAACAAATTTTATTGAAATTTTGTGTGTAAGATCAATGCAATTGTATACAGTTGAGGTAGAAAAAGACATGATTTTTTTTACCAATAAAAAACTGAAAAGTGTGGTGTGAAAAGTATTCAGCCTCTGAGTCAGTACTTCGTAGAACCACCTTTTTGCTGAAGTTCCAGCTTTCTTTTACAGTTTATCTCTACCAGCAAAAACTTTGTCTAGTGAATGAAGTTTTTGCCTTTCATCTTTGCAAAATGGCTTCAGCTCGGTCAAATTAGATGGAGAGCGTTCATGAACAGCTGTTTACACATTTGGCCACAAATTCTTGATTGGGTTTATGTCTGGACATTGACTGGGCCATTTTATCACATTATTATGTTGTCTTAAACCATTCTATTGTAGCCCTGGCTTTATGTTTAGGGCTGTTGTCCTGCTGGAAAGTGAAGATCTGCTCCGGTCTCAAGTCTTTTCCACAATCC